GGGGCGTGTGTCGTTTGGTACCCCGCAGCCGCCCGGTGCCAGCCGGGGCTGTTAGTGCAGCGCGTTAACCAGGCATTAATGTTTTAAAGGGCATCGATTCCTCAATCAGACGAGCACTGGGTGCTTGCAGGGAGCGCTGGGCACTGCCAGGGAGGCAGCAGCCGGTGTGTGGGGTCCTGGTGCCTGTGTCCCAGCGCCGGGTGTGGGCGTCTCGGGGAGGGGTGAAGAGCCCGTTCGCAGGGTTTGGCCCACGCTCTGCAGGAGCTGCAGTCATTTGGTGGCGGAATGAGCCTTGGAAAGCTTTTTCAGCCGTTATCGCTAGCTCTAGGGAGGCACGCTCAGCCTGCGAGGGAGAGCGCCGCCCCAAAGAGCCCCTGGCACAGCATGACCCCCCCCCCCACCGGCACGACCGGGCCCCTGGCTTCCCCCACCGCGGCGCAGTGGGGCTGTGGCTTTGAGGTCAAGGTCTCCCTGCTGTTAATTACGATTAGCTGCCGTGCCTGTCACCTGCTTCCCCTAGCGCATCCAGGGGGCTCTGCAGATGCTGAGCTGGGGATTGCTAATTACAGGAGAGCACGCCGGAGTGGAGGGACTGTGTGTTTGCGAAGCTCTGAAATGGTTTTCATTAAACATTAATGCATAAAATGCCATCAGCTCTTCCCAGAGACGTTCTCCTCTCCCATTAATATTTCAGGACCCGCACTCCCATGCAGCGTGTGGCTGCATGGCTGTTTTAAAGCAGATCGAGGCAAGAGTTTGCTGCTCTTACTAAACCTGCATGTGGCCTGCGGGTTTGCTTGGTGTCCGCCCTGCAGGGCCGGGCAAGGCAGGACGAGCGGCCACCCGGGAATCGCGTGCATCGGCTACGTCCCGCTGCGTGAGCGCCTCATTTCTCCCCTTCCGCCTGTGCAGCGCGGGAAGAGCCTGGTGCTGTGGTCGGCCCCCGAAGCCATCCAGTATCACCACTTCAGTCCGGCCAGCGACGTGTGGAGCTTTGGCATCGTCATGTGGGAAGTCATGTCCTACGGCGAGAGACCCTACTGGGACATGTCCAACCAGGACGTGAGTCGCTGGCGGCCGCGCAGGAGGTGACGATGCTGATGGTGTGCAGGCGGCTCCGCGGAGGGCAGAGGAGCTGCCGCCGCTCCCCGGGCAGGGCTGCGAGGAGGGAGGTTTGTGCCCTGGGTTTTTGCCTGCGATCCGCATCGCGGCACCTGACCCTGTCCCGCGCCCTCCTCTGCCGCTGCAGGTGATGAAGGCTGTGGAGGACGGGGTCCGTCTGCCTGCCCCGCTGAACTGCCAGCCGCCCCTCCACCAGCTCATGCTCGACTGCTGGCAGAAGGACCGCAGCCAGAGACCCAAGTTCTCGCACATCCACACCGTCCTGAGCACGATGGTGCAGAGCCTGCAGCCCCCGAAGTGCCCCGGCTCCACGTGCACCAGGTGAGCGCCCCCTCGCTTTGCCGTCTGTTCTCCTGCTTCGCCTGCCCCGTCCCAGCTCAGGCCCCCTCCCGGCTGCCTCCTCACCCCCCTGTTCCGCTGGCAGGTCCCACAGCGCGTCCATCCCCCTCGCCGAGCGCACCTTCTCAGCCTTCCCCTCCTTCAGCTCTGTGGGCGAGTGGCTGGAAGCGATAGAAATGGGCAGGTACAGAGACAATTTCACCGCTGCGGGCTACTGCTACCTGGAATCGGTGGCCAGGATGACAGCCCAGTAAGTGAACTGGTTTCCTGGCTATAGCCTTGTGTCTCCGGGTGCAGCGCGAGCAAACCCCGCTTTGCAGTTACAGTCGGGTGTCACTAAGCAAAAGGACAGATCTTCCAAAGCACGCCTGTAAGAGCAGGGTGGGCTGCCTGCATTCTGCATCTCAGTCGCTGGGTTTTGAAGCTGAGATTTAACCCTGTCGTTGCTGGCGAGAGCCGCGTTGCCCGTCCCTTCCAGAGGGCAGAGGCAAATCGAATGCAGTTTGCTGCCGACGCGTTGTGCGAGCCGCAGGGTCGGGAGCCGTCTCGCGCTTGGCGTGCTGCAGGCGCCTCTTACCCCGCGTTCCCAGTCGTGGTCCATCTTGCTTTGGCTGGGGCAAGTTGGGGATCTCTTACTCCGGCTGCTCCGCAGTAGCCCGACAGCCCGAACCCAGCGTGCCCTTGCCCGCGAGCAGTCGGCGTCGGGACGCTTCACGGTTAGGGCTTGTTCTTCATGGCTGACGTGGGGTTTGTTTTGCAGGGACGTCCTCAGCCTGGGGATCGTGCTGGCGGAGCACCAGCAGACCATCCTGAGTGGGATCCAGACCCTCCGGGCCCAGGTGATCCAGATGCATGGCCGAGGCGTGCAGGTGTGAAGCGGCCCCCCTGCAGAGGTGCAGAGCCAGCGCTCCCGGGGAAGAGGCAGCCGGCCGGCCCCAAACCAGACTGAATCTTTGAAACCTCACGGTTTCGAGGGGGCTGTGGGAATCGCTGGGCTGCTGCCAAACCAGTCATTCCGTGTGGCAAGAAGAGAGCAGGGCTTCCCGTCCCCTGTGCCGGGGGGGGAAGGATCCCCGGGACGCGTGCCTGTGCCCGGGTGGCTGTGGCTCTCCCCGGCGCTGTTCTGTCAGCCGAGTCAAACTGTGATGATGCCATTTCCTATGGCAATGTGGTCAACAGGGTGGATGGACGTTTGTGCACTGTCTTAATCCAGAGCTGACAGTGTTTTTGTATCTAGCATCCTACTGGTGAACTCCATGGGTATTTTTATACAAGCTGACATGTTCTAGCGACCCCACAGGAGCTTTTATTGCTTTTATGTTTAGAGACCGGAGCATAGCTCACACCCAGCACCCAGTTTCTGGAAGGTGACTTTCC